GATTTTATTATTTGAAAATGATGGTTTTATTGTTTGAGAACGATAGTTTTATCATTCAAGAATGATAATTTTATTATTCAAAAATAATGTTTTATAATTTATTGAAGAATAATTTTAATAGGCTTACTTGGGATGATAAATACAACTTTGCTTTCCAGTTGACTAGTGCTGTGTTATATATTCATGAAAAAGGAATTATACATTATGATTTGGTAACCTTTATTTATATCTAAATTTATTTATGATTTATTAATAATTATTAAATAATTTTAAAATTTTATTATGGTATATTATAAAACTTGCTGATTTTGGATTATCAAAAAGGATTGAAGTGGCATCTAAACAACAGTCAAAGTCTTTGGTATAATTCCTTATGTTGATCCAAAAAGATTTGGTATACGAGAATTGCCATTAAATCACAACAAGTTAATCTAAATGAGAAGAGTGATGTTTATAGTGTTAGCCTATTGTTATGAGAGATATCAAATGGTCAACCTCCATTTTATGTTAAAGGTGAACTATAGGATATTTATTTAGCTATTGATATTTTACAAGGACTCAGAGAAAGTATCATTCCAGGTACGCCTGAAGATTATGTAAAAATTTATACTGGTAAAGACTATTATAAATTATAAATTTAAATTTAAATATAATATTTTTAGACATTAAATCATTTTTTATGGTTTTAGAATGCTGGGACAGTGAGCCAGACAATCGTCCATCTATTAACAAAATGGTTGATGAATTAAATGCAATTATTACAAAAGAGAATATAACAGAGTATGATCAAATTAAAATAAAGAATCAAACCTTCAATCATCAGAACAAAAAATTTATTCTAGTATGAATATTTCATTACATGGGGACTTATCTCAATTGATTCAAAACTTTGATCAAATGAATGTAGAAGTAAGATCGAATAATGAAACATCTGTCATCATTTACGATGATACTATTGAAAGTTTAACAATTACGGAACTTAACAAGGAAATAATAAATGCCTTAGGAGGATTACAAAAATATCAAAAATTAAAAGTACTTATTTGTAGTAATACTAAAATAAATAACTTACCAACATTACCAAATTCCTTAACGGAACTCTATTGCTATGAAACTCCAATAAATAGCTTACCAACCTTACCCGACTCCTTAACTATTGTATATTTTCGCATCGCACGAAGTACCATTGGCTAACAATTGTGGCTTTATGCAAAGCAAAGAATTTTAAGTGATTGCTATACATTTAAAATTAATTGTTTTAAATTACGTTTTTCCATGAGAACATCATTATTTGTCGTACTGCTTTACGTAAGAAGTTAAGGAAACCAAAACACTTCTGCATGGCTGCATGAATGACATTATATGCAAATCAAAATCTTACCTACGGTAGTTTCGTGTACCATCAAAATTAAATTGATGATCAATTAATTTCACATGACGAAGTAGGACTAACATAGCGTCGCCCAGATCATGAAATTAATTAGTATTTTTTTTTTTTTTTTATGTAAGTAGTTTAATAAAGTGGTATATTATAGCATATTGCATCACGGGAATATATTTTAATTTTTAAGATGTCGCATCCCTATGTGATATTTAAAAAATTTTGCGGGTCGCAGAATTTAATATTTTTCTATTATTATTATAGTAGAAAAAATTCTAAGACGTTTAAATATCCCCTATAACATATTACGTAATACTATAATTTGCTTTTCCCAAACTTACTTTTAAAGATAAACATCGAAACGACTTCGTCTTAACTATGTTGTGTACAAAAAATAATGTCATTCAAATTCCTTAAATAAAAACAGAGATAAAATTATAAATTTTTTATTTTCTATGTATTTTTGGTGAAAGATTTGATTCTTTGTAAAAATATCATCAACTTTCAATATTTATATACTCAATTCAATAAATTTTTATCAGTTATTTGACCTCTTCGCAATAATTTAAACAACAAATATGAAAACTGTATTAAAAGGAATAAATAAAATATTTCATAGAAAGTTTATTTATATAATTACATTACAAACATTTTTTTATAAAATCATGGTAAACTTTATTTATGTTTAATTAACAATTTTTATTTAAATTATACGAGTACACTTATAACAACTCATATGACAATGCTAAAAAGATCAAAGAAATATAATAAATAAATAAGTAACTTACAAGTATCGACTTCGTTCCAAGGCTCGGTCGACTATCGACTGCGCTACAAGGATGGGAGATATCCAACAGGACTCGGGTTGCGTGAGCACCCACTCGTGAAACAGTTTTATAAACATAAGAGAAGATGCATAGCAATTCCTATTTCAGAAATCGCAGACCCTTACATTCACGAGCAGTTGTACCGGCCCTTTTCAATTGTAAACCCTATTGAGTAGAAAATTAATAAAAAAAAAAAATGTTATGAAAATCATATGATTGTATACCCGTATTTACCGCTTCCACTTCCTCGTTGTTGACTAATAAAATTAAGAATATTAACATTAATAAGGTACAGCACATTTTTTTTGAATCTTTTAGTCTTGTCAATATGAGTTGTTATTAAAGGAAATCGGAACACGAAATAAAAAGTTATTTTCGGGTATCATCATAGATTTAAAAATAAATTCTAGAAAAAGAAGTGGAAAAGGGAATTAATTAAGGAATCTAAGTAAAAATAGTCAAGTAGAAGGTAATAGATGCGAAAGATCGAATATCAGTGACGCTTAGTATAAAATATTTCACGAAATGACGAGAGGAAACTATTGTCGATAATGATAAGATACTGCATTAAAGAAAAAAGAATAAAGAGCTTACCAGCAGGTTAAGATTTGAAATCCAGATGTCAGCTACAGCAAGTGTAAAGTTTTTTTAGAAGATAGTCTTTCACGAAAGAAAGATAAAAGCCATGACAGTTTATTTAAGGTGGGCGCGGTTCATTATGAGAATTTTTTTTTTTTTTGTGAAAGGGCTACGAAAAAGAAAGGAACATTATAACTTGGTCATAACTTTGTATAAGGTACCATGTGAAAGATGTGCTCAAAAACTTGTTCGCTTTTTTGTTTCTTTATAAAGGATAACCGCAAACTTGGAAAAAAACTGAAAAATGTTTATCGACTTATACAAAAACATGCTTTTTTATTTCCAAATATATTAATTGAATTTAAATTTGTCGTATTGGCTTTCGGAATAAATTTGCCTACCATCTTTACTGGACTGCTAAAAATGTAAGTCTATATTTATTTTGTTATTTTGGAATGGAAACGAGAAATGTAACATTTTACAATAGCAAAAATGTTATTCCTTTTTTTTTTTTTTTTTATGTTTTATTATTAAACTGTTTATCGTAAGTTTGCAAGAATCATACCTATTGTTTCTTTTTGTCATACATTTTTTAAAAATGCGCCACTCATTTCGTGTGTCAAAAAAAAAATGTAAGAGAGGTGGTGCTAAAAAATTAATCAATTTTTTGTAGAGCAAATGTTCAATTTAATGTAAATTGTCAAAAAAAATGTGAGACGCGCTAGACATTTTAGTAAAGAAAAAAAAGCATGTGTATTAAAATGCAATAAGTGACACAAAAATTTAACAAATCAATAAACTAAAAATCGTATCGAGTATAAATGTAAAAAAGAAACAAAAACCAATCCATTTAAAATTTTGATTTACGTTGTTTATTGATTTCCGTCTCCATTTATTGATTTGATACAATCAAAATTTCGGGTATGTTTTTGTTGCACAATTAATCTGGCATCTTTACTTAAACACAAAATAATCGTCAAAGTGTTTATAGACAATATCCCTTCAAGAATAAAATCTCCTGTGATAAATTGTTGTTGGACCTAACATGGGAATAATAGATCAAATATAACACAATATTTATACGAATTAAATTTTGTAAAAAATAAATTTCTAGTAAAATCCAACGTTGATTTCTTAAATTCCTGATAAAATAGCCCAATATTCAAACAAGAGTAAGTAAAAATTCAATGAACCGAAACTTATAAATTTCGTGTTCTTACTAGATAAAGGATAAAATCTCCGTCTATGAAAAATTTATCCACATATGGTTATTAAAACGATCAGTAAGTTATGAAATCATGAATAATTTGAATTATGAGATGCAATCATAACAGCTTTATTTAAATTAATAGATTTAAAACAGTAAACTGCGTAAAGTTAATTCCAGCAATGTAAATAATAACCATCATAAATTTTAAAAAAAATTAATGTAATAAGCAGTAAAAACGGTTATTCTATAAGATCACACCTCAAAAATTTACAGCGATCTTTAAGGAAGTAATTTTTCTGCGCTCTCGTTTCTAATATCTTTTATAGTTCATGGCTTATATAAATAAATAAATAAATAAAAACATTAGCCACGTACGCTTGCAAGGTCAGAATAATTCGTGCGAGATAACAACCTGCCATTCACAGTCCAATGTAACAATTTATTAACTGACTTTATGACAACACTTTCTATGTCCTGTCTCAATAATGATTATCGCTACGATAGTGACATTTCATAATTTTTATTTAACAAAAGTATTTGAATTAAGTTGAAGTACCATATTATTTTTTCTTCTTTTTTAAAAAAAAATAATATGGGCATTTAATCCAAGTTAAAAAAAGATACCTTTATATTTTGCAGTAAATTATAACTCATTATTGAAATTTGAACTAATATAGTTGTTAACATCAATAATGCAACTCAATAAAAAAAACGCTGGGATTTCAATTCAGATTTATAAATCCTGGATTAATTTCTTTTATTATTTAAACAGGAATCAAAAGTTTAGTGAACATAATGTTTCAAAAAAAAAAATGATGGGATATTGCTAGATTACTTTAAACCTATTATTTCACATATTAGAAAATAATTCGGAACAAAACAAAATAAAATAAAACCAACAAGATTAAAGCAATAAACTAATATATTAAACTAATCCTTAAATTTTTTAATTGTATCCAATTTAACGAATACAACTTTCAGACGTGCAACTTTCTTGCAATTAATGTCCTCCCTTGTAGGAGGTTCTGTCATTCTGTACCCCGTCGCTGGAAGGAGGAGTAGCAGTAAAAACAACGCTGCTGAAGGTTAAAAATAGCGATAACAAGGATTAAAGTAAGATTTTTCATGATGGTTTTAAAATGATTTATTAAACCAATTTTTATTTAATATAATTATTTCTAATAAAATATGGTTATGGAAAATCGCAAGTTCTCAGGACGCGTATTTATATGTGATTGTAATAGTGCTAAAAGTTATCAATTATGACAGTCATTTTGTGTGTTACAATATCAAGCTAAGCCCAAAACATATCAAACCAATATAATTCATTTTTGTTTGCTTATCATATGTTAAATCACAGAGTCAAGCCACGCAAAGCCAGGTTTATTTGTTGTATTAAATGTACTTGCGGTTGGGGCTGTTTGGGTGGATAAATTTTTGATCTGAAATTGTAAGGACTTTTATTGCAAAGTGGACTTCGTTAAAGAAAACACTAAGGTTGACACTTTGGTTAAACAACAACATAGTTATCATATTTTAAAAAATTTAGATTGATAATCAGGAAAGTATAGACAAGCAATTTCAAGGATTAAAAACTAATCTTTGCCACCCACTAAACTCCAGGAAGTAACTTGTTTTATAAATATTTTCACCGGTACATTTGGTACATTTAATCAAAATTCTCTAATCAATTTGCGAGTAATCAAGATGAAAATATTTGTAAATATTGAAGTGGTAAATTTTCCCTTAGAGTAATAGGTTCTGTTACTTTTATAAACGCCAGGAAATTACAAGTTAAAAAAATATTTGTTTAAAATCGAGTGGTGGCTGAATGTTTAAAATTAAATTAAAATATTCATATGTAAACTTACTATTATTAATGTCATTTGTATCATAAATATACATTTAGGGTGTCTCGGAGTGCAAATTGTAAAATTCAATTAATTAATATTTTAAGAATCAAATATTTTAATATTTTGATGAAATTATTCACTTGACAAATATATTTTAAACTTTATAAGATTTGTCAAATTAACCTTCAGTTATTTTGAGAATAATAAACTATTCAAAATAAACGAAGAAAATAAAAGAACCGTTCTACGAGTAATAACATTTATAAATACCAGCATGATTATCAAATGAAGTTCATAAAACTAAAGAACTTTGCCTAAAATATAAAAACTATATGCTAGTGAATCATTTATAATACCTTTTCACACCTTCTTCGGATTTTTGACATACCTTTATATAGCATCATCTAAATTATTTTCTGTTCTCTTTCCCTGTTCACATAAATATGCAAATCTTTTTTGTGCATCTCTATTTCCTTCTTTAGCAGCGATTTTATATAAATTTAATGCCTTTTCCTTATCAATATTAACTATTATTCCATGTTCGTAATAATATCCAACTTTATATTGAGCCTCTAAACATCCTTTATTAGCTGATTTCTCATAAAACTCAAATGCCTTTACTAAATTTTCAGAAACACCTTTTCCCATTTCATAAAATTCGCCCAATTTATATAATGCTTTTTTATTATCATTATTTGCAGCTTCGTGATACCAGTAATTCATCATCATACAATCATTTTCGTATGGTAGTTTCAAAATTTGTGTATCACTATTCATATTTTCAGCTACTTCATTTAATTTAAATCCGTTTTCCCTATTAATAGATATTCCAATTTCATTTGTATAATAATATCCAAGTTGTAATTTTGCATCTGAATCTCCTTGTTTAGCAGCCTTTTGATAAAAAATAAATGCTGTAGACTCATTCTTTTCAACACCTATTCCTAACTCATAACATTCACCTAGATTATACATTGCAACTGTATTTCCATTTTCTGCTGCTTTATGGTACCAATGAATGGCCTTTTCGAAGTTCTTATCTGTTCCATTTCCATATTGATAAATTCTAGCTAAATTGTATTTTGCATAGTTATTTTTATTTACTGCTGCTTTTTGATACCAATGGAAGGATTTTTCTAAATTTTTTTCTGTTCCCACACCCTTATAATATAAAAGTGCAAGATAACATTGTGCATTTGCATTATTATTTTCAGCTGCATTTTGATACCAATAAAAAGCCTTTTCTAAATTCTTATTAGTCCCTTCACCCAGTTCATATAAATAACCCAAAAAAAGTTGCGCATTATTATAATTTTTATTTGCTAGAACTTTACATATTTCAAATGCCATTTTTTTATTAATGGTAGTTCCTATCCCAAAATAATAACAAATTCCAAGACTATATTTTCCATTTATATATTCTTTTTCTGATAGTTTTAGATATATTTCAAATGCCTTATTCTCACATTTTTCTATTCCCTTTCCCAATTCATAACATCCACCTAAATTATATAATCCGTCCATATTTCCATTATTAGCTGCTTCTTGATACCAATGAAAAGCTTTGCTTAAGTCTTTTTTAGTCCCTATACCCTTTTCATAATAAATACCAAGATTAAGCTGTGCGCAAATACTTTTATTTTCTACGGCCTTTTGTATCCAATTAAATGCTAAATTATTATTTATTTCAATTCCGAATCCTTCCTTATAACATTTTGCGAGATATACTTGTGCAATGGGATAATTATCTTCGGAAGCTCTTAAAAATAATTTAAATGTTTCATTATCATTTGCAACAAAATTAATATTGTTAAAATAAAAAAATCCCAAGAGAAAAATATTTTTTGAATTCACTTGATTTTCTTTAAGCCATTCAAAAAGATCAATTGGAGATCGATTTGCCAGGGATATAAATAGATTAATACAGTGCTTTGTTTCATTAAAATTATTTCCTCCATCTTGTACTTGAGTTAAGTGTACTATTAACTTATCAATGATAACCTCTATAGTATCGTTTATATCAACGTTTTCTGCAAATAATTTTTCTGCTTGATATAATATTTGTGAATCGCATTCGTTTTCTGTTGATTCTAAATTGAAATCAAGCATTAATTTACTTATACAGAGATCTGAATTATTGCTACACATATATGTTGAATAAGAAGACATATCATTTTGCAATAATTCCACTATATTTTCCGTGGGAATAATAGGAGGATGAATTATATCATTATTTTTTCCAAAAATTATTGCTTCAAGTGAATCAACAACCTGTTGCATAGAGGGACGTTTCTTTGGATCATCCTTCCAACATTCTAATTAAAATTAAAAAAATATGTTATTTAGAGTTACATATAAACAAATGGTAAGTTAACGTTTACCTTCAAATAACTGGCTATATTCAATAGGGGTATCTTTGACAATAATTTCTCTTCGGCCTTTTTTAATATCTATAATCAAATTAACACCATCTTCTTCATTTTTATAATAAAAAGGTCTGTGTCCACTAGTAATTTGCCAAAGAAGGACCCCAACGCTATAAACATCTGATTTAGGATTTAATATATAATGCTGACTTTTATCATTATTTTTAATATTATTCAAATATTTTGGATCAACATAAGGAATTACGCCAAGCACATCGGTTGAATTAATAGATGCTTCAGTTATTTTTCGAGATAAACCAAAATCTGCCAACTTTATATTATTTTGATGTACGAGTACATTGTTTGCGTGCTATATAAATAAATAATAATCATTTAATTTATAAATAAATCAATAAATTAAAGCAAAATATTTTTTAATTGCTCGTTACATTACCAAATCACAATGTATAATTCCTTCATTATGCATACATGCTACGGCTTTTGAAAGTTGAAAGGCCAACTGATATTTATCGCTCCATTCTAGTTTATCAAAATTTTTTTCCAAATAAGACTGTAATGTTCCACCATCAGCATACTCCATAACCAACAAGTATTTATTTACTTTATTGACTGAATCCGTTTCTAATTTTGATATCCCATAAAACTTTATAATATTCTCGTGATAATCAACTTCACGTTGCATTTTTATCTAGTAATATATAAATTAATAATAATAATAAAAAAGTATATATGAATAAATTTTTAGATAGTATACCTCATTAATAATTTCCTTAACGTTTAGATTGAATGAATATTTTAGAACCATAACGATATCGGAATCTAACCAGTTTGCGGAAAAAACTTTTCCATAAGAACCACAGCTAATTTCTTTCTTATTAGTAAATTTTTTATAGTCATAATATTTGATATAATCTTCAAATCTCGCTTTTTCTAACCAATTAAAACAAGCGGTGGAATCAATTCCAGTCATTGAAATATTTGACAAGAATGAAAAAAAAATCTGAAAAAAAAGCATAGAAATACTACCTAATAGCGTTTGAGGTTGTGTAACTTCCCACAAGGTATTACGATGCAGTAAATCTGTCCGTTTCCATAGTCATTGTTCAAATGATTGTTATCGGTTTGACAATCGGATCAGATCAGGGATAATCTCATGACGACAATGTCCGAAGGTTTTATTGTTTGATATCAACAAAATTTAGAGCTTAAATTAAATTAAATACTTTCATCATTACTAATTTATTCTATAAATCAAGAACTTTTAATTCACTTTGAATGATAACTTCCGACATTTGGCACCCGGACATTTTTGCCGGTTCCGGACAATCATAAGGCAAAATCTTGTTTAAAAAAAATAGAAAAGATCGATGATTTTAAATGAGACCGAAAAATTTGTCCGATCGATCAATGCTAATAATCGTTTTTTAAGAATGAATATTCCTAGGAAAAAATAATTTATCTTCTAATGTTAATTCTAAAAAATAAGAAAAAATTTAAGCAACTGGACTATATAATATACTGTATGAAGATTCAAGAAAATTTTAAAACTTTTTAACTAACCGGCAAAATGTATTATAATTAAAAAAAAAATTATATTAATAAAAAGACAAAGTGTTTTTCAACAGGCATAAAATTTGCAATCCATTGAATGTTTCGGATCTAGTATTCATCGGGTCACTTTTTAGAAAGGTTTTTATTAGATATTAATCGCGATTATCGTTCTCAAGATTCGATTAATCGAATATTTTTTTTTTTAATTTTTTAATTTTTTTTTTCCCAATCTTTTTATTTCTTTTTTTATTATTATTATTTTCTTTTTCGTTTAGTATTTTTTAATTTATTCTTTTTTTAATTTTTAATTTTAATATTTTTGTTTAGTTTATTTTTATTTTTTAATTGATTAATAATAATATTAATCGCGATTTTTAATATACGGAGACTTATTGCCCTTAAAGCCCGGGGCAATCGTCGGGTAGAATTGCTAGTATAAACAATAAACAATAATAAAAAGAAACACGCACCTTAATACGCCGCCGCACCCACATTCGTCCGAAAGGGCGGAATCGGTCCTAATCAAAATCGAAAAAAAATAGATTTTTGATTGATAATCAAGAAAAAAAAAAAAATAATAAAATAATAAACTCCTTACTGCGCCGTCGTGACAAACCAAAGTGGCGAATCTACCGATCTAACCTATAAAATTATA